ATCAATATTTACCATGGTTAGACCCAGCACTGCCCAAATAGGGTTCTTGTGTTAGTGAGGAGCTCACTTTTGTGTGGCAGTAATCTGCGTCTTCCCAAGTGGGTAGAGGCATTGTAGGGAGAGCAAAGTGATTTGCAGAGACCATATTGTATATAAACCTTCCACCCCCCCCCACCCACTCTTTCTAAATGGAAACGTGTTTTAAAGTGGAAAATATGGTGGTTACAATCAGTCATTCAAGCTGGTGAATCCTACAGATCTCCTCCCACCCTGCGTTCAATGAAACCCCACCAGCACCATGAAACTGATTACGGTCACCCTCCTCAGTGGCTGTTGGAATGGTAGCACTGGCACCATTACAAAAGCACTACTGTGTAGGAGCACAGATACTAGCATGCTGGGTGGTCCTCCTCTGCCTATTGGCTAGGACTAGGAATAAATACAGTACTGTAAGTGCTACCAGCAATTGACCTTTTAGACAGCCTCTCCTCCTTTTAGACAGCCTCTCCTTCACAGTGGCCTGTGAAAGGAGCAGACTTCCTCCCCCCCCCCCCCCACATTTTTTGCCTCCTTCCTGAGTTTCCAACCCCAGCTGAGTATCAAGGCCTTGGAAACTGAAATTCAGGGCTGATCCTGAGACAGACTGTACAGGTCACAGATGGTAGGAAGAGGAGAAGGGCTTGTGTTTTGGGGGCAGAAGTGGGGTGAGGCTCAACTCACAGTTTAAAAACAAACAAACAAAAAACCCAGAAGAAGATCAGTGACTTCCTCTTTTGGGTGTCCTGTTTCTCCGTGCGCTAAGGTGCCTTTCAGCATTGTTTGCGATTAGTTTGTATTCTGGCAGTTCCCATGTGCTCAGATCAGGATGACGGCTAGGTGCTCTATAAATGCACAGGAAGATGTGACCCTGTCTGAAGGATTTTACTGCCGGACCAGCGTGGAGCCCCGTTGAGTTACGTCCTGGTACGTGGGAGGACTTGGAGTGCATAGACCGCTTGTGTAACTGATCTTTGAGCATTTGTGCCCTGAAAGACGTACAGATGAGCTCATTCTTACTGTGTTTCCTTTAACTTGAGACCCAAAAAAAACCAAACGGATTTTCTGTAATACAAACTGGCTGTAGGTGTTTGGGTCTACTCCTTGTGGCAGCTCAATGGATCCATGTGTGAGTCAGGACTAGGGTGAGACTAAGCGGATTAGTGGTAGGTTAAGAATCCCAGTCCCTTTTGTTGCTGGGAAGGGAGCATTGTCCGATTACGGCTCCACCTTTTCTGGGGTAGAAATAGACAATCTGGAACTGTTCAAACTCTGGCAAAGGCAGTTTCTTGGGAATGTCTTGCTGATTCTGACCCAAGTTCTGCTAGTGGCGATATACTTGACCTTTCAAATGCACTACCTTCACAAAGAAAACCCCAAACTTATGGGAATGACAACTCTCCTCATGCTTGGTCATGGGCGTTACCATCCATTGCATTACTTCAGCCCTGTTAGCATCTCTTTGGGTATGTCTACACAGCAAAGAGAAACCCACGTCTGGCCTGGGCCAGTTGACTCAGGCTCTCGGGGCTTGGGGCTGATTCATTGTTGTGTATTCTTTTGGACAGCAGCCCAAGCCTAGATGTCTACACAGCAGTGAAACAGCCCCGCGAGCCTGAGTCGACTGACCCTGGGCCAGCCATGGGTGTCTAGTAGTTGTGTATATACTTTGTCTTGTCTCATGTCGATCATTACATAATTCCCTGCTGGGGTGCTGCTCCCTTCTCTCCTTTTTTCTTTTTTAGTTAAAAACTTATTTTTTGGAAGATCATCTTAAAAATAAATAAAAAAGGCAAGTCTACATGAAAACAAAAGTGGCGATCTGAAGATGCCAGCCCTGTACTTACAAAAGAATAGCATGACTAATGCAAGGAATATATCCTTTAGAACTGACCTGAAAAGGGCTTAGGGTAGGAATATAGCAGCGAGGAGGGAAATCTGTTGGTCTTACTGGCCTCTTCTGAGGGCAGGCTAGTTGTTTACAGGCTGGCTGTCATAGCTTCCCTAAAGGGTAATGGTGAAACAAAGATGAAGCTAGAGTTCAACATGGGCTTATGTGCCAAGCATTCCTGCTGGCCGGGGATGGGATGTGCTAGTTAGATCTTTTCTCTCTCCATTGGCCTGGGAGGGGTGTTGAGCACAGAGAGAGGATTAATTAAATCATCTAAAAATCCAGTTTTTCCCTGATATAGCCCCATTTCTTGAAGAAATTCAAAGTACCAAGAAATGCTCTTCTTACTAGGTTTGCTGTGTATATTCCAGAACATAAGAACAGCCATACTGGGTTACACCAAAGGTCCATCTAGCCCAGTATCCTGTCTTCTGGCAGTGGCCAATGCCAGGTGCCCTAGAGGGAATGATCAGAACTGGTAATCACCAAGTGATCCATCCTTTGTCACCCATTCCCAGCTTTAGGCAAACAGAGACTAGGGACACCATCCCTGTCCATCCTGGCTAATAGCCATTGAACTTATTTAGTTCTTTTTTGAACCCTGTTATAGTTTTGGCCTTCACAACATCCTCTGGCAAGGAGTTCCACAGGGTGACTGTGCGTTGTGTGGAAAAAATACTTCCTTTTGTTTGTTTTAAATCTGCTGCCTATTAGTTACATTTGGTGACCCCTAGTTGTTGTGTTATGAGGAGGAGTAAATCACACTTTCTTGTTTATTTTTCTCCACACCAGTCATGATTTTATAGACCTTTGTCATATCCCTCCTTAGTCGTCTCTCTTCCAAGCTGAATGGTCCCAGTCTTATTAATCTCTCCTCATATGGCAGCCGTTCCATATCCCTAATCATTTTTGTTGCCCTTTTCTGAAACTTTTCCAATTCCAATATATCTCTTTTGAGATGGGGCGACCACATCTGCACGCAGAATACCTCCCTGTTGTCGTCAGACATCACCGGTGTCTCAGGGCCTCATCTTACTACACCTGTGACTCCTCTCAAACACCACGGGCCGAAGTGCAGCAAAGGCTGTTAACCTTTGTACTGGGCATTTGGTGCTCTTTGGAAGAGGGGTGACAAAGGCCTGGTCTACACTTAAAAAGTTTTACCAGTATAACCGTGCTGATTAGTGGTATGCTTTTTTTTTATTTTATTTTAAATTGACATAGTGGTGTTAGTAAAAGCCTTGGTGTAGATAGTTATACCACTTACCATTATAAGGTGCTTTATGGTGATCTAGGTTATTTTGCTTTGCTGAACTGGAATAAGCTAAGTTATACTGGTGTAAGCATGGTGTATTACTGCACCTACTGTCATGTAGTTTTACTGCTTTAACTATGCTTGCATACTTAGAGGCACCG